ATATATATATATGCTTATTTATCCATTTATTTATTTCACTCTGATAGAGTCGCATTTCTAGACATATTTAATTCTTCCATCTGATATTATATAAACGTGCTTTTTAATCCAATTTTTCTTTTACAGCTACATTTTCCTTGCTTATAGTGATTTTACTTTTTGCAAATAACATATGAGTATTTCGATGTACATAGCGGATATTCCTAGGCTGGTTATTTGAGACATTACAAAAGCCTAAACTTTGGAATGGCTCATCATAGTCTCGGCCTTACATCTTTAATGTCCTCCAGTCGACCCATTTTTATTTCATCTGATTATTCCCAAATAGTAATATTTTGCATTTAAATTATCCTTAACCTCTCTACTCTTCTACTTTAGCCATATTCTATATTGCTTTTAATGATTCAAGAATGCTACCTATAGCTATATAGGTTTTTTATTTTCTTTTTCTTAATTGAGTCTATATAAAAGGTAAGATGGAGCCGGATAATCTTCTTGCTCTAGTCTTAACATGAGATTTTTATGGGAATGGGACCCAGCTCTGATGATGTCTATCATATGAGCATTTAAGATTTTTACTGAACTATTTGAGCTGGCATCTATAAATATTTGCTCCTATTACTATAGTCTATTAATCCAGATTGAACTCTACACTACCTTGGGCCACTACTTAACCAACCCCAAAAACTGAGCTTCCATTAACGAATTCCGGCGCTTTCATTTGGTCCTCGGACTTCACTTTACCTTTCTTTGAACCTCGAGCTAATCTTGGTCACATTTGCGCATCCAACCATACTTCGTGGCCAGATCGCGCGTTGATATACTCTGCTACCCGGCCACACTTGAAGGTTATTAACTCGTAGATCCCATTATGAATGTCAAAGAAAGGCAAGCTTCTAAGTTGCCAGTTTTGTTGGTTTCGTTTATTAAGCTATGCTTCCCATTTATTTATTTAGCCACTTCAATGATTTTTTCCTGCTTTATTTTTATTTAATTTTAATCAACTTATAAGGACTTTTCTGTATTCTTATTTTTTCAACCCTATTATAATAACTTTTAGCTCATCCGTCAGCTTGGAGAAGAAACGCTTGTGTTATTACTAGAATTAAATCCGGGACTACCGGGGCTCCTCGAGTGGGTTGTAGACAAATGCTATACAGCCGCTAATCCCGCCCTCACAGAGGCTTGCTTCGTAGCCGTCTTTCGTATTCTTACACACAAGTATGTAATAATGTCCTTTATTGAAATATCTATGAGTTATTTACTCAGAATAGCCTCGTTATCTTTCGTATGCTACACCAAGCTTCGGCTTAACAAGTTGTCTTAGTCTATTTATTATGCAGGGCCAATAAGTGTTTTGGAAACAAGGTTATTCGTAACTTTCTAGCTGTCATTCCGATGAAGTTGCTTCTTCGATATTATCTGAGATATACTCAAAGTTTTAAAACGGATGACCCATATATATATATATATATATATATATGGACTCCCGTAAACTGAAAAACGTCCCTTAAATTATCTAATATTGTTAACAGGCTATGATTCTAAGAAGTTATTCATTCTTTTCTCTTAGCTGCCTGCTATAACTAGTAACCATGCCTAATAGCCAAATGTATTCTCAATTTATGTCAAGTCAAACAAGTACCAAGATTTAGTCTGATTTCAAATTAGCATAGTCTGATTATGGCAAAGCTATAGACTGGGGTGCCCTTTTTAAATATTATTTTTAAGGATGCTTACAAGACTTGTAGATTGCTACATTTATTTCACAAATTTTGATCTCTTACATTTTTATTTTGATGTGCTTATATCTAATTCACGCTTCTTACGATTCTACCCATTTCCTTTACTTCGTTTATTCTCCCTTACCTCTAGCATGAATTATCCTTGTGATTCAACAAGCCTGCTTACCCTTTCTCTGGTCTTCATGGAGCATTCAAAATTACTGCTTAGAGAACGGGCTTTCTACTTATTTCAATTGCTTTACTATCGTTTCATTGTTAAGGTGGGTGATGTCTTCATTTCCTCAGTCCAAAACTTGTTAGTAATTTTTCTTAGTCGTTCCCAAAATATTTTCTTTCTCCCTCATTTGCTTTTTTTTCCTCATATCTGGTAAAATAGAAAAAAATGACGATATACCTTGTACTGTCTCTTTTACTATTGATTTTATCCTACTTGTCGAAAGGATAAATCGGTTTCTATGGTCGGCCTGTCATCCTTATATAACGAATTATTTCTACGGTTGTTGCTTGGTCTGCATAATACCCATAACTTCTGATCAGGCAAGGAGACTTCCGAAATACTTACGATGTCTTCGACAAAATCAGACTTTTGTTCTTGCTTTCTCTCGCTGACTTGATTACCTGACATAAGAATTAGGCCAGCGTAAATCATTGCAAATCAGACAAGATATGGTTTTGACCTTTTTGGTGAATAAGAGAATTATTTGATATTTACTGAAGTTTCCTTTTCCGGCCACTCTTATGTTTACTAAAACTTGAGGTGATTGTTGGTTAAGATAGGGAGCGGAGTGTTTTGAAAGCAGCCCTAACTTACTTTGTACCAAAAATACTGAATGGCTATGTCCCTTTTCTTGTCTGTGGTGCCATTATGAAGGTTCTTGATTAGCTTATAAATATTATCGAAAGAGCCTTATTTTTTCGACTTGGTCACAAACACACAAACTCTCGAGGCCAAAAATTCTTTAGTATCCCTTACTCCTTGGTATAGAGGGCAAATCTAATCACTCTTGTTCAGGACTTGTATACGGATATGTCGGTGACCTGACACGATAATCTCATTTAGCTTCAAGCAAGATGAATTTCAAGTGTGATCTTACTCTCTTTAGAAGGACGCTTATACTCAAAATCTAGTCTAGTTATGTCGACAAAATACTTATTTTGTTATTGCTGACGAAAATATCAGTATTTTTGAGGAATACTTCAATTACCCAACTATCCACATCTCTCCGCTTATTTTCTAATTAGTAGATATGAAGCCTATCCAGCATAATAATAAATGTACCTCGATAAATTGTCTTTGATAGTTGATTATTGAATATTGAACTCCTTGAAAGCATTTTTAGTCACCTCTTTATCCTCTGTTCTTCTAGGACTTCAAAAATGTTACCTTAATCCCCTTTCGATATTATTCGGATATGATGTTGGAGTACCTTTCATTTCATTTGAAGGGGCTACCGGAATGAATTCGTAAGTTGGCCTCACTGGAAGCTGAAAGTGGATTTCCTTGGAGCTATGACTATAGATTTGTGCCAATTTGGTCCTCGGTGCATCGCATTGTGACCCCGATGAGTCCTTGCTGAGCTTTCGTCCCTCGTGTAACGGACATCGTCAGAGCAAGGCATCATGTTTCACCAAAACACGAAGACAAGAAAGGTGGCCGGCTGCAATTCTCCCTACTTCTAATAGCTTTGTCCACTTTTTCCACTTACTGAGGCGTCCCATGATTTAGTTTTATATCCTATACGTCCTCAAAATGCTTGCTGGAAAGTTAAATGTCTTCGGATGACATGTGAAGTAGTCAGATTCGAGAGTCAGGACCAGATTCTGGGCTATTCAGACCTTCTCTTGTTTGACGGTTCTTACCATTCTCTCTCTTTTTTCTAATCTTATCCAACAGCCAGAATTAGATATCACAAGTACTCTCCAACAGATCGTAGATATGAGGAACAAGATGATATGGTTTTTTGTTTGTTCGTAGTCTCCTTTTGCCGTATAGTATTGGCTTGACCTCCTTTTCTCAACTTGTTTGAAGCGAAAAGGAGACCTCGGGCAGTTTACTCAGTCCAGCGTCCTCTGCTATATTCATGTTGATTTCCAGCATCGTACCCTTAACTTAGTACATTCCCTTAAGTTTCGCCTGCATCATAGTCGGCATCCTCAGTGAAAGGCGTCATTCTTAGCAGAAAGTTACTACTTATCAAATGACAAGTGAATGCACAATTCCCTTGACCACTTTTATTTTTAGCCGTTGTGGCATCACTCATAGTCCCTATTTTTTGTCTTAGCTATTCACGCCATCCTGTGTTCTTGTTTCTTCGTTAGTTATTTTTTCTTTTATAATTATGTTTTCGAGACTATCGATAGATCATATATATGGGATATATTCACCAAATTTTCTTAAGGTAACCAAGGACTAGTACTAGAATTTTCCCATTGCTATGAATAGGCCTTACATTTATATTTAATTACACAGTCTTGCTTTCCAAAGGTATTCTCATTCAGGGTGGACTGCAGTTTCGACCTCGCCCAGGTCTCAAATTGTGATACTGCAGCATATAATCCAGACATTAACCACTACACCGCACTGCCATGAGCTTCCCTGGGCCACAGGGCAGATTTAAATTTCAGGGCCGGTCATTTTCTATTTCCCATTCTGTGGTGAGATTGTCAATGAATAAAAGTTGTATTTTCTATAGAAATCAACTAGATGACTTTTAAAAGTAGGTTTGCCTCGTTTTCTCAACTTGGTTTTGTTGGACTTAGTTGGGAGACTCAGTTGGACGCATCTCTGCCATAGTCGTTATCATAATTCTCAGCGTCCAACCGTGGACTTGGTATATTCTTATGCGTTTCGCTGGCATCGTAGTCGGCATCATTAGTGAGTCTCGCCATTCTCTCCACCAAGCTACAAGTTGTCAAAGAGACAAGTGAGGTCAAGGGATTGACTTCGCATAAGATGCGTCTAACTAAGTCGCCCCGACAATAAGACCAAGTTGTTAAAACGAGGCCAATCCATTTCTATACATTGAAAGGAATCTTCGACAATACTGAGGCCACACTATCTTGCCCTTCTAATCTCTGACTTATTTTTCCATTATAAGTAGGTTTTCAAGATTACCAATAGGTTATATAGATAAGATGTATTCACCCTATTTCGTTAAGGTGATGAGGGACTCGGATAACTTTTCCTACAATGTTATAAATGACCTTACGTTTCCATTTGATTCTATGTTAAATTTAAGCGCAATTATTTATATTGCAACATCACTCTTTTTAGGGATTTTTCGAAACCCTGGTATTTTGTCTACTATTTTATGTTTTTGATCACAAAAATTCTCATTTTACTTGGTTCCTGACATTGCTTTCCTTGTTTGAATGCAATAAATATTTCGACTGATAAATATAAACGCTAGAATACCGCTACTAACTTATGCCATTAGTTTTCTTATATAAACTAATGCATCTTAATCAGATTTATTCCCTGTAAGAATATGAAATTCATTTCCAAGATTTATAAGCGTTTTTTAATTTCTATCCTTCATTTAGTCTCTTCTCGTGCAACATGATGCCATCCATCGTGGGACACCTAGTGACCAACCTCATAACAAAAAAAGAGACTCGGCCGCTGCTTCATCTGGTGATGTTCCTTCCTCTCATGAAATGCATGCAGCCACCCAGAATACGGCCCAAGGAATCCGAATGTGTTCTTTTGGTAAAAAAGATGGTCAAATGGAGCCGTGTTCAGAGCTCTGTCATCAAGTAGCTGTTAATCTGCAATTTTGGCGCTGTCTCTCAGCTAGCTGGACCCTTGTAGATGTTTCTCGTCAGTTTGCCGCTCAGCATCCCGAGTACACACTATTCGTCTTCTCAGGTTTGTAGAGGTGGGACTAAACTTAATGCTCCATAGCCTCGTAAAATATAAAAAAATGACGATGCGCCTTGTACTGTCTGACAGGCGTCATTTTATACCTTAGCCTTACATTTTTTAAATACCTATTTGTTATCTTTAGTAAATTGATTATTCTAGTATCATCATACTCTAAAGGACTTAAAACTTTACACCTTGTCAGATCAACCAATCTGTCCCTATCGTTTTCTGAGGCGAACAAGTTTTATTATTATGTGACCAAACGTTAAATTATTTTCTTAGACTAGAGTATGAGTGTTAAACTCGAGGCA